ATGACCTGAGCTGAAGGCAGACGTTTAACGACTGAGCCACCCAGACGCCCTTAAAGTACCTTTTTAAAAGTTGCATTAGTAGCTATAGAGTGTTTTGTCCCATGGAAAGCTAAACGTACGCATGTTTGTTTTGATATAAAAACATTTTTAATGAAATGAAGGCAGAAATATTTTAACATCCACCTTTGGCTATGTGAGGAAGTTGAAGATAAGATGGTTCTTTAAAATGTTATGACTCATAAATAATGGATACACTGTTGTCATTATTGTAAATGCATTTTTTTACAGTGTCAAAATAAAACATGAGAGAGAGGATCAGAACTGATTTTTGTCACCACTCTCACTGCTCTTCCATTCAGCTATTAGAGTTTTCACAGGAAAACCAATAGATGTTTTGTTAAAATTACAAATAAATCTTTACCAGGAGGCCTTATTGCGTCAGATACATTTTTACAAGCTGCAGCCTCTAGGATAAGTCGTTTCTTATTAGCACCATCTGGAGCCTCTGAACTGCGTGAGGATTTGGTAACTGTGGAAGCAAGAGCAGATCTTGCACCATATCAGAGGCTAGTTGGAGTTATTCCTGACTCTGACTCAACACACATGCCTGAGACTGGCTCCGTACAATGTAAACTTAGGACTCTGGGACATTGGGTATTATCAGCTCTGCCTCCTTTTCTCATCCACCACCTTCCGATGTGAAGGGAGGCATAATCAGCATCTGCAAACAGTTTGTACACACAGTGCTTCATATAAAAAAAAAATGGGTTGAAGGACTCTGTAGTAACCTACTGGTTGAATTATTTAGCGGTGTAAAGGCTTTAAAAGCTAAAAAAAATAAGCTTGCTGATTGCAAAGGAGAAATTATGCAGTTTGCTGAAAAGAAAGCAGTAGCTTTAATGGGCTAGGGCAATGGTTATGAACCAGGGTGTGTTCGTAACTTCGAGGTATAGTTTGTATAGAGATAAATTACTACTATATTGCTTTTATATATACCTCTTGAGTATTTCATGATTTAAAAATCCGTTATTAAATTCTTGAGAAAAGAGTTTAAACAAATAATGTTTATTAACTTTAATCTTAGAGATACTCCCTTTGCTTTCTCTAGAGTGGGGAAAAAAGAGGAAGAAGGACAAGGTATTAAACAATGGTCAAGTGTCACAATACTATAAAAGATTTGAAATCACTGCAGTAAATATATAAAACTTCTTTTTCATTGTTAGAGAGTTGAAACCTATATAATCGTTCAAAATATAATTCTTGCTTATTGAATGTAAATGATGTTCTCACCCATTGGGAAAGTTCAGAATGTTTCTTGAATATCAAAGATGCTTGAGGAGCACACCTGGCTGGCTCAGTCGGTAGAGTGTGTGACTCTTGACCTCAGGGTTATGGGGTCAAACCCCATGTGGGAGGTAGAGATTCTTAAAAATAAAATCTTAAAAAAAAAAAAAAAAAGCTGGAGGAGAAAATAAAGTTAAAGACAGAGGAAGTAAAGTTATAGTCCGAGAGGGGCTTCAAGGCTCTGGTTCCAAGTGAAAGAACAAATATGGGAGTCAGGCCATATCACTCGGTGTCATCCACTGAGTTGTCTGGTAATTTCTGCAAGAGAGAGAAGATAGGACTCATGCTTACAGGAAAGATTCAGTTTGCCTAATGAAGTAAATGAGGCTTCCACCAAATGAAGTGCTCACATAGATTGGAAAAGAGTCCACTGAAGTCACTAAGTCTTAGTCCAGCATTGCGGTATTTGAGACTTTATTTCAAGCTGAGACACCACCTTGTCAGCTGTGCTTTTAGCGGTTACATGTAACCTGGCATAGATGAGAACTGGCAGATTTCAGGGTGGAGTCTGTGATCCTGAGCTCACTAACCACAGTGCAGCCTGCACGGCCCCTTGCTCGGGCCCCAATAGCCATTGACTCCATAAGCGGACATCCAGTTTTTCAAAAACCTTAAAAAGATCCGTCTTCCCTCTCAGTACAATGTAGGACATGGCAATTCTGAGAAAGATGGTTGAGTTAGTGACATTACAATCATGGCAGAGTAGGAAACTGAGGACCTAGAAGCTGACATTCAAAAGATGAATTAAGCATTTAAATTGCATTGTTTAAAATATTCAGTTCCCTCATTAGCAAAGAACAGAGGACATCTATCTCTCAGATAACTGGTTTCTAATACTGTTCTGTAATAAAGGGAATCAGGGCTCCTTCAAGAAATAGCTAAATCTAGATCTGGGGAAGGAAATATGCAAGATGAACCTGGAACATCTTGTAGTGCCAAAAAGTAAGGAAGTGTCTCCCCACCTCAAGTAAGTAAATCAACATGGATACACACAGTTATGGGGCTGCGTCAGAAGGACACAGGAGTCAACTGAAAGAGTTCCCAGTGGCCAAAGCTGGAACAATTTAAAATAGATGATAGATAGATAGATAGATAGATAGATAGATAGATAGATAGATAGTGAGTGAGTGCAAAGTATAAAATAAATTTCCATGAGTCCATACTGATACAGATAAATGACTGAATACATGGGGAAGAAGAGGCAAATCAGGCAAAAAGAATTCCAAACAATTTATGAAAATACTTCACCCTCAAGGAGGTATAGAATGTAATTCCCCCTGCTTAAGGGTGGGCTGAGTATAGTGACTTCCCTGCAAAGGAAACAGTATGGAAAGGGACATGGGGGAAATAGAATAACTTTACAGCAGAAAAACCTGACAAACACTGCCTCAGCCAGGCAACCAAGGTCAACATCAGCACTGGTAAATCCTGTTGATGGTATGGACCCTTGATACTATGTGATGAAAATAGCAATTTACCTCTGTGGTCTTCCTCCCCAAAACATGTAACCCAGTCTAAACATGAGAAAAACATGAAACAAATCCAAACTGAGGAACAGTCTACAAAATTCCTGACCAGTTCACTTCTAAACTGTGAAGGGCGGGCGCCTGGGTGGCTCAGTCGGTTAAGCGTCTGCCTTTGACTCAGGTCATGATCCCAGGGTCCTGGGATCGAGTCCCATGTCGGGCTCCCTGCTCAGCTGGGGGGTCTGCTTCTCTGCCCCTTCCCAGGCTTGTGTGCGTTCTCTCTCTCTCTCCCTTTCTGGCTCAAGTAAATAAATGGAATCTATAAAGACAGACAGACAGACAGACAGACATACATAAAATAAAATAAAATAAAATAAAATAAAATAAAATAAAATAAAATAAAATTTAAAAACTGAAGGTCGTTAGAAGCAAGGCAAGTCTGAGAAACTGTCACATTCATAGGAGCCAATGGGGGCATGACAGGTGAAGATAAGGTGGTATCTTGGATGGGAACCTAGAACAGAAAAGGGACATTTGGTAAAAATTAAGGAACTCTGAATAAAATATAGACTTTAATTAATAGTAATATGTGAGTGCTGCTTCATTAATTATGACAAATGTACCATAGTTTTAACTACTGAGCTTTTTTTTTCTCAGTTGCCTTATTTAAGTACGTATCTTCCCTTGTACCATTAGCCTTTCATATGCTCAGAATAAGAAGAGGACTTGTTTCAAGTCTAAAACATTAAGTCATTAATATTTTTAACAAGTTGTCAGTGTCCTTTGGATGGATACAAGCTATATAGGTAAAAAGTCATCAAAGAGCAAGTAAAAAATTCACTAAGGCCTTTGCTCTGTAATATATAGTTCTTTAAAATTGCATGGAGGTGAAAATGATCTTTCAAATGCATAACCTCTAAAATATTTTCTGCATGGCATAGTTGAAAAAATTGTATAATTTATGCAATCTCAATATTTTATATTTATTCTAGGAATTAAAAGGTACATAAAGAAGGGGAAGACAAAATTAATGGCTGACTTGGCACAAGCAATAAAGACACAATGCTTGCTGTTCATTTGGCTTATCTTCAGCCAAGACTTTTAGTGGAATGAGGTGGCAGGTTCCTCGGACCATGAAAAAGTATAACAATGGACTAGGAGAGACGATACCTCTCTTCTCTTTTCCTTTGAAAAGCCTCATTAGGGAGCTAAATCTTTTAAGCCAGTTTGCTTTACCACTAGAATTCTTTCACCTTATCTTTCTTCTTAGCAGTATATATGGTGAAGACCTTAATGCTAAGGGAAAATTTTGATGTCATTTTTATGTGAGAGCTTCATGATATTCAGCACATCAGTCCCATAATAAATCAACTGATTAATTTAGAAAGAAATGAATAGTCTCATTAAAATGTTCAGTCTGCTTACACTAAAGTGACTGCTTTTTTGTTGTTGTTGTTACTAGACTGTCATAGAGAAGCACAAAATGAATGTTCCAGAAACGATGAATGAAGTTCTTGATATGTCTGACGATGAAGGTATGAAAACCACCTTTGTGTTCATAATTAAGAGTGACTGTGTATCTGTTTCCTGAAGAATGTTTATTGCAAAAATGTTTTTAGAAGTGTTAATGTGTTTTGTTGTCATAAAGAGGGTATGCATTTTCCACACACTTACACTCTTCACTTAAATCATGCAGTTCGTAAAGCCAACGCCCCTGAAATGCTCAGTGATGGTGAATATATCTCAGATGTTGAAGAAGGTATTTGTAACCTTTTACTGTAATGGAACTTAACTACCAGCTTTATCTTCCATTTCTTATCTTCGAAATGTAACACTTCCTTGAGTTACTAACTCTTCACCTAACTTCCGATTATTAATTTATGTACCATTTAAAAGATGTATATATGGTATTAGTGGTTTCTTTAAAGCCCCTCTCCTTGAATCCATTTTCCAGCTTGGAACTTCAAGTACATTAGTATCACTAATGACGTGGATTGCTTTCTATTTGTTTCTATTAAGCAGAAAATTGATTTTTATTGTTTACATTTGGAAATACAGAAGAGGAAATCTGATTAATGTTTACAGCTAAAATATTTTTTAAAATAAGTAAGAGAAGGTACCTTATAGGTAAGGAGCTAAATGCTCATTGTAAGGTTTACTCTAAGCTTAGTAGTAAAAGCAGCTTTTGAACTTGAACCAATAATGAAAACTCAACCTGAACAAAATTGCTTTCAGAATATAAATTTTCGGGCGCCTGGGTGGCTCAGTTGGTTGGGGGACTGCCTTTGGCTCAGGTCATGATCCTGGAGTCCTGGGATCGAGTCCCGTATCAGGCTTCCAGCTCAGCGGGGAGTCTGCTTCTCCCTCTCCCGCTCCCCCCTCTTGTGCTCTCTCTCATTCTCTCTCTCAAATGAATGAATAAAATCTTTAAAAAAAAAAAGAAAAGAATATAAATTTTCAATATTGATTTCATGAAAGAGATCAAAATATAAATTCTTGTAGCTGTACTTCATTTGCTTAAAAGAAACTACTTTTCTGCCTTATTTAAAAAAATCAATATTTTCCCAGCTCATGATGTATAGATATACTAATGAATGATATTTTAAAAGTTGCATTGGAAAATTAGCATTTTTACAGTGAATAAATATTGTAAAGATGGCAAATTTTGGAGTTTTGCTGGAGTAATGAAATACGTACTTATAGTAGAATTTCTAGTATATTTATGTTTTTTTCTTACACCACCTGACTCTCCCAAATGACATCTATATTGTGCCACCTCTCATGTATTTTTCTCACAGATCAGACTCAATGTTGTTAGTCTTTCTCTGTGCTTAGGTAATTTTCCCTATTTTAATTATTGGTTTCTCCTTTGAGTTGCACAAATTTAAATGAACATCTAAAATAGTGGGAAGCCTACATAATCCAAAGTGAGTGCCTTTAACTTTTTTGGCATCCAGTGAGTGCCTGCTGGAAGTGCGATCTGGCCAGGAGAATGCATACCTAGAACAGCTAATGCCTTGGTGGTCACTTAGGAACCTGGACAGAGCTGTCTCATTGTTCGTAAATGTTGTTTTGATAAATGTTAAAGGTTTTTACTCATTTTTCTTTCCTTTTGTCTAAATCATCAACTATATATTTACTTGTTTTATCCCCAATTGGATGTTTGTATCATCTTTAGGCCTTTAAGAATAATATGCCTTGCTGTCATATTATATTTGAAGGCCTTCTTATGTAAAGTTTGCTGAGTAATTTCTTATGTGCAGAAGACAGAAGGAAAATGTTCTCACATAGATGTGTACGCACACAAAACATGTCAAAAGTATATTTTCAAATGCAATTTCGTGAAATATGACAATCACAGACCTAAAAATTTGCTAGTTTTGGACAGAATATCCAAAATAGTTGCAGTGGTAAGAGGCCAAGTTTGAATGGAGTATATAACAGCTTTATATACATGAATAGGCAAATAATTTCCCAAAAAAGGAGAAATTTTGAATTGTTTCATTTGAAGATAATTCATCTAGCCATTTAACTAGAAATGACAGCGATTCCTTATGGATTTATCTCAGCTTGGGAGTTTGAAATTAATAAACAAATTTTAATTCTCATTTTATTCATCTTTCTTTAAACTTTTTGGCACTTGCCTTATGGGTGTGCCCACAGGCTATGAGAATCAAGTGTCTATTGGTTTCATAATGTTGTAGAATTTAATGTCGGGAGGAGTTCCTTAAAGGTCACTTCAGCCATCTATGCTAGAATCACTTCTATAAAATCCTCTCTGAGGAAGTCTTTTGCCCAGATGCCTTAATGACAGAAATTCCCTAATTCCCAGCTTGCTTATTCCACTGTAAACAACTCTGACTTTAAAACTTCTTCATTTCACTAAGTGTCCTTCTCATTGATTCAGGCTCTGATATATTTGGCACTATTTAACACAAAACTGCCTCCTCTGTGTGACAGTCCTTCCTTCTATTTCTCGTTAGTCTGTTTTTCTCCAGGTGTATTATCCCCCTCCCTCACCACTGTGGCTCTCTCACTCTTGTCTCCTATGAACATTGCAGGGTGTCCATTTCTACCTCAGATGGAGGTGACCAGAACTGAACACAGTATTCCAGGTGTAGTCTGATCAAAGCAGAGGCATGCAGGGCCATTGCTTTGTCCATGGACGATATTACACATCTATTATTGAAGATTAAGATGGTTTTGAGGTTATAATAGCCACTTAATTTGACTCCTATTAATACCACTGTCAGCTAATGTTCCTAAACTGCTTACATGAGCGCCAGGAAGCCACGTCTGCCCTGTCACGAATTTACATCGTTCTGTGCTGCATAAACTAGCATTTCTGTATTACTCCAAATCCCCCCCCCATTTTAATTCTAAAGGGACCCCTACAGTTTTAATGATAGCTTTTACTTCTGACTCATTTGCCTTAGAGTCTTGCCAGCACTTTGCTACTTTAGTTGGATTCGGAGCTGCTTGTTTTGGTAAGCACTTACAGACTGGGGCGAATGTTTATTTCCATGTAACCACAGGGATATTGTGAGTATCTGTCTCTAAAGAACCAGTAAGAGATCATCACACTGGTATCCTAGGGTACTGAGGAGATCAGCAGCTTTTAAAAGCAAATAAAAATGAAAAGTGATATATGCTGCCAGGTTTTCTCAAGAAAGAAAAAGAAGAATGAGTTTGAAATATGGAAAAATATAATTTTAATTCCATATTATAAAAATTGAGTAAATATTAAGGGAATGGTGCTGAGAGTAATCTTTCTTGTCCTTTTCCTTTTTCTTCTTTGCTTTCTCCTTCTCTTTCTCCTCTTTTTTCTGTCCACTATGAGAAGTTAGTATAGGTAAAAAATGTTTGCATTAATTTCACACACTAAAAAATCAAGAAAACAAATCTAGACAATGTTATGAATTAATGACCTAGGGGAACAATGGAGCCAGGTTACAGAGTAGAACGAAGGCTGAAGTATCAGCAAAGTAGAGCAATAGAAGGAAAGGTGATAAAGCAGCCTTATCTAAGCCACATATTACCTAGGTAGGGGGTAAGCAGAGCTCCGAGAGGACCAGTGTCTTAATGCCCCACTTGTCTTCTTTCCCAGAAAATATGTCGCATACATGTAAAATTAATATACGTACAAAATTAATGTTGGTTCTAGTGCCAGTTACATCCTTAGGTTTTGCAATTCAGTTTGCAATTTAAAAGAAAGAAAAGAAAAGATGAAGACGGGAGGGAAGAAAGAGAAGCAGAGAAAGAAGAGAGAGAGGAAGGAAGAAAAGAAAGAAGAAAATTGAGATTAAGGTTCAATCTGTCTTCTATTTTGAGTCCCCCTCCCAAGAGATTTTAGAGTTGGCTTTGGTTCAATGCTGACTTTAAATTATAAATTCCTATCAAGTATATTTTGTAAAATTTTAAATAATGTATAAAATGTTGTCTTAGCTTGCAGAATTCTAGGTTGGGTTATAGTGACAGATTTAAAGAATGAGAAATGGAATTAAGCCATGGGAAGTAAAAACCAGAGGCAACTCTGTGCAATATGACTCTACTGAACAGGTTTGGGAGACAACTGGGTAAAACTGGGAAGAATTACTTAATTCTCAGCTACTTACAATTTTGATAGAGCTGCAAAATCTCACTCAGGATCAAATGCAAACAATGAATATTAAAAGGAAAAAAAAAGTAAGAGGCTAAGTACACATGTGGTAGAAATAATTATCAGATAGGTAGAGGTTTGAGACATAAGAAAGCAATAAAATTTCATCAGATGTTAGAATGACGTGAGGCATGAGGAGAGTCGTACTCAGTCACCTTCGTGCCAAATTCAGTGCCCAGTGAACTGACTCGGCATCATGTAGCCCATGCTGTCCACTACACTGATGCGGTAGCAAAGCCCACATAAATGTTGAGTAGCTTGCCCAACCAGGTTAGCGGCAGAGCTGAACAGGAAGACAGATCAGACAGTCTGGGTCTAGATCTTCTCTTTCATTGCTACTCTAACATGATCTGTTTTCTTATCTACAGAACCTAAGAATATATTGTTTTTTAAGCTTTAAAAAAGGGAAAGCTTGGAAAAGGAACAGATCATGGTCTTGGAAATTATCACAAGATAATAATTACCTTTCAATGACCTTGATAAGACTACGGTAGAAATAGTATACTTTCTTCTGGCCATCTTGGTAAAAGAAATATGCAGACCAAGATGCAAATTCCAGGAAAATAAATATAAACATAATTTAGAATAGATCTTAAGAACTCAAAGCAAGTAAACGTATCTGAGCCTTCTCAATTTGGAGAGAATAAGTAGAATTTGAATGGCACAATCTAAAACTCAAAAAAGTAGGAGAAATTACTTTGGGAGACATGAAAACGGATATCAAGAAAATTATCAGAAAGATGTTTTTTTTTTTTTTTTTTGATTTTTTTTTTATTCTTATGTTAATCCCCATACATTACATCATTAGTTCTAGATGAAGTGTTCCATGATTCATTGTTCGTGCACAACACCCAGTGCTCCATGCAGAACGTGCCC